CGTCCCCTACTCTTTCTGCACTTTGGTGTGGGTTCTTTTATGTCTCACAAGTACCAGATAAGTCCCGTGGGACCTACGGGACTTACGATTTTTCTTCCTTAAGACTTCTACTTCTTAGTTATTTAAGGAGCCTTAGTGTTGGTCCGGCCGGGGTATGAATCCGCGACCTCCAGCTCAGCAGACCGGCGCTCTCCCGACCAAGCGCTAGTTGAAAAACTTGGCACACTGCTACCTTATTATGGAAAGCCTGACCAATTGGGCAAAAATCTACTGCCAATTTAACAATTCGAAAACGTTTATGCTACTTTGTTTTCTAAAAACGCCCAAAAAATTTTCGGACTTGGAATTTGATGGTAACATTTCTGAAAAATGATTGCTAGTCCATGAGCCATTTTGTGAGAAGTGGTTAAAAATTTCGTAGCATCTCCTTATGGGAAATAGTTTCCTTGGTATCAAATGAAAGCTTAGGGTGTGCTAAATTGTGATTAGTCTGTTTCCAAACATGAGACTTGAGGAGCGTTACTGGAGCGTTATATTAATTATTGGGGGGTTAAACGGTTGTGGTTAATTCGAAGCCTTTCTCTCAAGTTATTAACCCCTTTCAATTCGATCAAACTTTTTCAAAAGATATACAATTCATGGTGACAATTGAAACTTAGGGTGCGTTCCATTGCATAGGAAATCCGGATTTGAGTTTTAAATCCAAATTTTAGATTTTGCAATCGAACGCGAAATGCAAAACGGATCTCACCCCCACCCCCCGAGATCGATCGAGAAATCCGTCCCCGAGGTTGCCCCAATTCAGGATTTCATGGATTTCCTTTATTACCGTTCTACTAGGAAATGCGAAAAAGGATTTTTAAAACTGTTCTCGTGAACAGTGTTCTTTTTTCTTGCTTGTTATGCGTGTGCTTGCGAGACAAATGATCTTGAAAACAGTTCAAATCCTTTCTCGTATCCTCGCACCCCTTCTCGCCCCTGAAAAAGAAAAAGGAGGAAAGAAAGAAAAAGAAAAGAAAAGAATGAAAGGACCTTTGCTATGAAAGAAAAACTTGCCGTCTAGTCGCAGAGGAGCTCAGAATAAACGTTGGCGTAAACGAAAAAAGAAGCAAAAAATTATCCAGCGCTGACGGTGGCACTCCAAAAGCGCGCGAAATACTTGAACCGAAAGTCAAAATTCACTTGCATACCAACTGCGTAGCCTAGCAACACGATATGATAAGATGCCCTTAGAGGATGCAACGTTTCTTGATCGGAGGACTGAGACCAACGTTTTCTCAATGAATTTTAACCAAGAGATCACGATATCAGTTGTTTGAGCTAAAAGAAAGAAAAATAAATAATCAAAACAACTGTTGAACAACTGAAAGAGTGAAAACTGACTGTACTGGTGACTTTTAAGTCAATGGAATTCTTGTAACTAACCTCTACTTGCTGATTTGTAGACGAGTGTGAAACAGGACTACATAACTGCCACGATGATGCAGAATGCACCAACACCAAGGGTTCCTTCACATGTACTTGCAAACCAGGATATACTGGGGATGGCGTCAACTGTGCAGGTAGCATAATATGGAGATTAAACGAACAGGTTTTCTACTTAAGTCGTGAGCTCAGTTCCATGCCAAAAATGACACAGTCAAATGGAATGTAGAAACCTGTTTCCATATTTAGTTAGTGGTATGCCACGCGTTGTATCTGCCAAAAAAGTTTTGGCGTTGGTACGTGTAAAGTTGTGGCCTCCAATCTCCCCCACAGAAAACTTTTCATTTTGATCCAACTACATAATAACAACAGACATAATTTGAAGGCAAAAAAAGTTTATTTAGAGCCAACCCTGCAAAGTACGTATATTAAAACAGCAATAAAACTAGTAACTAATTGCAAAAAATAACTAATTGGCATTCTTGCTTTCCTAAAACAGTCAAATGATAATAATAACTGGTCGAGTTCGAAGTGCATCCCCAATTAAGCACACGGGCTTAGTGCCAGTTAGGTTGGGGAGCAACAACTCTGACCAACAGATGTCTGGGACAAGGAACACTCTAGGATCACAAAGGCTTAGAGACAGAAAAACTTGGGATCTATCTTTAATGTAACGGTATCATACCTAATAATATACCTAACATTAGGCACGTAGGCCAATAGCCAGCTAGGGCGCTAGAAACGGTTAGAGCGCAACATTTAAGGCAAACAGGTGGCTAACGACCCTGGCTGGAGGTCTGTAGTATTGCCAATTTGACTGCATCAATCATTGACTTATGTCGTCACCTAAAGAGGGGTATGCGGGACAGCTGCCTGAAGCGTACATTGAGACTAAATACATAATTTAAGGAAAAGGTGCAAAACGGTGCTAACCATACAAATACATAAAGTTAAGAAATGATAAAATTCTGGAAACTGCCGGCAGGGCTGAGCTCGAAAGCATGGCATTACTATCCCTCATTCAATAGACATAAGAATTAACCCGATTCAGTTTGATAATTCAGCAATAACTCTTGATTTCCAGACATAGACGAGTGTGACACGGGAAATCACTACTGTGACCGCCTCACTGGTACTAGGTGCTATAACACCAAAGGATCCTTCGAATGTCCTTGCAGGGAAGGTTATTCTAAAAAGGGAGGACAGCATATATGTACAGGTAACATCTCAAGATCCCTTAATTGAAACACTCAGATATTTCGTAGCCACGTCTCTTTCACATCAATTTCATCTGTTCGAAAGTGGTTTTTCACTAAATTCGCCTTAATTTAAGTCGCGTTAATCTCCATAATACCTTTTATTATCATAGCGCATTTATTTCATATAATAAGGCAGGTATATTATTGCAATTCTAATAGGACATTTTCGACTCTACTCTAGCTTCTGTCCCGAGGTACGAAGCCTTTTGGTAAGAAAACTAATTTCAAAGGACAAAGGTGTAAGAAAGATCTCGTTTTGAAAATGAGGGTTTTTGGATCTGATCAGAAAATAATATTGAAATATTGATCACATGAACTGGCTACTATGGTAGGTCACAGTTACTTGCCGTGAAAGAAAAGCTTTACTCAGTTTATTCATTGCCTGACTTCAAAATTTGAATCAACTTGTTGATTGGTCAGAAAAGGTTTTGGCGATGGCTTGGAGTGATTACCGGAAAGCAATGACATGATACCACATGGCTGGGTTATTGAGTGTTTGGAGATCAATGTTTTGGATAGCTGAGAATGTGAAAACGTTTCTTATTGATAGTATGCACACACGGAAAGTAGAGTTATCACCATCAGGCGAGAGGTTGGAAGTCATCCACATTAGAAGGAGAGGCATTTTCCAGGGCTGTTTGTTTGTGCATGATTTCATTAACTTTGGTATTGAGAAAATCAACAGTAGCCTGCTCTTGCGAAAAAAGGTTAACCAGCTTTTTATGAAGGACTTGAAATTGTTTGAGAATAATGAAGACCAAATAGATTCGTTGATGTAGGCTTTACAGTGGCTTAGTGAGGACATTGGAATGAAGTTTGGATTGAAAAAGTGTAGTTTGTTGGTAATGAAAAGGGCCGGGAAAAAAAATAAGGTTTGAGTGTATAACTCTTTTGGATGGGCGGATTATGGGGGAAATTGGCGAAGGCGGATGTAAGAAACAAAAAGGAGATGAAAAAAAAAATGCAAGAGAGTAAAAAAGGAGGCTGAAACTAGTATTGAAATCAAAATTGAATGGAAAGAATAAGGTTATAACGATTAACACCTGGGAGTGTCAGTGCTGAGGTATAGGGCAGGTATTGTAATGGGAAAATGAAGAACTGAAAGCATTGGATAGAAAGGCTAGAAAGGTGTTGACAATGAATGATTTTACGTACTTTCCATGCAAAGAGCGATGTTGAAAGATTGTACTATATCGAGCTCGGATGGAGGTCGGGAACTAATAAGTTGTTAGGGGTTTGTGAGAGGTGAGGAAACCATTTTTGGTTTGTTATATGTGAGGATTACTCTTTAGACTTGTGTTACTGGTGTAATTGAATATGAGGAAACAGTCACTGTAAATATGAATTCAAAACATCTTAAAAACGTGAAACTCAACAGTTGGAAGGAAAAAAGGCTGCATAGTCAATTTTTAAGAGAAATACCCGAAACAAAACAACACATGTAAGAGAAACTTGGAGCTGGTTAGGAAAAGCAGACTTGAAGATCAAAACGGAAGCACCTATATATGTTTGTAGCCCAGGAACAGGCTCTCAGGACGAAGTATATAACTGATTACCATATCGATAAGACGGCGGAATCCCCCTTATGAAGGTTATGTGAAGGGGAGGGCGCGAGAGTGTAAACCATATTGTCTGTGAGTGTAAAAAGGTTAGCCCAAAGGGAATATAAACAGAGACATGACAATATTGCAAAAGTAGTTTATTGGAAGTTATGTGTGAAAAGCTATCTGGAAGAGAAGGAGAGGTGGTACGAACACGTGCCTGATAGTGTAAGTACAAACGATGAGGTTAAATCTACTGTACGTGGGATAATGAACATCCAATGTCATCACGTCGTTTAAAAATATCACGAGCTTAAAAGGGAAATTGCAAGGATGTGGAACATTAGAAATGTGCAAGTTATACCGACTGTTGTGGATAAGTGACTGGAAAGTTGGACATAACAATTATTTTTTCATAACTTCAAAAAAACTACATTTATTTACTAGGAGCAGCAAGGATTGTAAAGAAAGTGTTAGAGTTCTAGAGAAAGGAGTCGAAGTCTAAGGGGCCTTTGGTCATGGGTTATGACTCGCTCTCTTAAGTAAATCAGTATGAGAGCCAGTGCACGAAGCAAGAAAACAACAACAACAACAACTATAATAATAATATAATAATAATAATAATAATAATAATAATAAAACAGAAACTGTTGTAGAAAATGAACAAGCGACAATTCTATGGAATATGCCAATCCACACTGATAGAGAAATAAGGGCCAACAAACCAGATATCATAATTAGAGATCACACGAATCACGGATGCTGGATTATAGATATGGCAGTTCCATCAGACAGAAATACATCGGCTAAGGTAGTCGAGGAACTCTCTAAGTACAAGGACTTAGAGATTGAAATCGCCAGAATGTGGAAAATGGAAACAGAGACGATACCAGTTGTTATTGGTGCACTTAGGGTCATTAAGAAGGGACTGGAAAAATATGTTGACAAAATTCTAGGCACATCCAGCATCTACAAGTCAAGGAGCTCCAAAAAAATTACTCTTTTGGGAACAGCTCACATCCTCAGAAAGGTTCTGTCAATCAAGTGAACTCTATAGTACCTAAGGGCCATTGTTTCGCCCCGGTACTTCAGAGTAACAGTAATTTAAATGATAATTATACTTATATAGTTAATAATGGAAATTAGGAATGAGTGGAGTCAGGAGACAACATAGCTGGAGTCTGATATGTTTAATAATGAGTAACAATTAATCATAATTAGAACAAAATTTGTGGTAATTTCAGATTTTATAAAACTAATTAAAACACAAGATCTAGCGAGAGTTTTTTTTGCGACTGGAAGAAAAAAAACAACAACAATCAAAAAACAAAAATGTCAAAGAGCCTGCGCGATGGCGTAATTGTTGTACCATTGCTTATATAGGTATGTATGATGGGCACTGCCCCCGAGCACTGTCCCATTACACTGTTATAATCTTAATTAGAACAGCATTTAGTAGTGGTAGTATGACTCAAATTGGAATCAATTCCGTCTGTAATCATTAGAGTGTTTAGAGGGTCTCAATGGGGTGGTGGCATTTACGGTTATCGGCTAAAATTTTGGCTCTTTTACGGTTATCGGTTAATTTTTTTTCAGTTAAGGTTAACTATAAAGTTAAAAATTAATTTCTTTGTTTCAAAGAGTTAAATATTAATAAACCTGTATCTTTTTGTATCATTAAAGCAAAATAAATGTTTTAGGATCATCTCGAGATGAAATAAGTTATTCTTCTGAACATTTTTAATATTTCATAAATCATGCTTTTAGAGTATTCCACTTCTAATATCATTTTACACATAGAAATGTTAACTATCAAAAAGTTTGTCATCTTTTGCATCTTGACGTGATTTCCTTTTCTTCAGGGGCTACTGATTCTTTCTTAGCGTCGCTTTGTATTTCCTACCCTCTTCTCTTTTTACTACCACGATAGGGTCTTTACCCCAGTGAAGAACTGATTCTACAACATGAACTAAAAAAGAACAAGCATACAGATTGAGACTCGAACATTTCTGTGACTCTCACAAGCGTCGGAGCCAAGCTGAGAAGTACGCGGCTTTGAAGAGCTTTGCCGCAGTTTTCTCATTCTCTTAAAATGACATGAACTCTTTGTTTAAAATAGAAACAAAAGGTTAAGCTATTGCCAGCCAACTAAAATTTTTTGTGAGCCATGAAACTGGACCATTCCTAATAAAAGACATAACAGTTTATTTGAATAGAATCTTCGTGAAAAGCAAAACTAGCAGAAACAGGAACGTAAAGAGTCAAAGTAGCTGCGAAATAAGAAACACAACCGTTCTAAGTGAGTTTAGCACGTTCCTCAAAATTATCAAATCTAAGGAGCAAAATTTTTACGGTTAACTCTTTTTACCCTATTTACAACTAACGGTTAAAATATTTCAATCAATACGGCTATCGAATAAATTTTGGGCCGTTTTACGCCTATCGGTTAACACCATTGAGACCCTCTGTTTAGAGAAAACTGTTTTTCAGTAGTCCTTTTGTGAGCGAAAACGACTATTTAGAAAAACGACAAACTGAATAGTAGCACCTCCTGTTTTGTAGACGTCAACGAGTGTGCAACAGAAAAACACAGGGACATATAGGGACAGTACTTTCCTTAGTATCTTTGCTGTTCCCAAAAATGCTGTTTTCTGGATAACGTTCACGCCGACTCGCTTCAACTTTAAGGAGTACATGAAGAGAATCGGCGTGAACGTGAGGTTGGAAGTTATCTACAAAACAGCATTGTTGGGGAAAGCAAAGATACTAAGGAAAGTACTGTCCCTGTACGAAGAAGGAAAAGAGAGACCTGGGAGCCGTGGTGAATTGTTGTAACCTGCTTCCAAGGACTATAAACCAGGCCGAACATCCTGCCTGAGTCTACAAGGAATGGAAAGAATAATAATAATAATAATAATAATAATAAAACTTATACAGCGCCGATATCAATATTGCTATTTTCATCAGCGCTTAAAAATAAAAATATTAAAAAAAAAATTACTAGGACTGCATAAAGTATACAAAGTGAATGAACCTACCAAAAAGAGTTAAAACAATTATGTCAACACTAAAACTACAGTTGAACCCCGCTATTTCGAAGTCCCAAGGGAAATGGAAAAAAGTTCGAAATAGCGGGGTTTCGAAATAAGCGGGAAAGCGTAAAATTGGTAAAAATGAATCATTTTTTAATAAAATACAGTACTGTATGAAGAAAGAAACTGATTAAATAAAAATACAGTAATTATATGTCGGATAAATCAGCAGATGCTGTTGCATCGAAAAATCTTTGAATGTTCTGTTCGAGCTCAAATTAAAATGCAAAACGTTTCCAGCAGTGCTCTTATGTGCGTACTCTGTTTTTGACAAGTTCGAAATAACGGGGTTGATTTAAGGTGTAGGGAAAGAACGATGAGTTCGAAATAGCGGGGAATTCGAAATAACCGAGTCCAAAATAGCTGATAGTAAATGACTGAAAACATAAGGGTAAATCCAAGAGAATTCGATCTTTCTTCGAAATAGCGGGGACTTCGAATTAACCGACTTCGAAATAGCGGGGTTCGACTGTATAGAAATTACTTAGTCTACTTAAATGGTAAAAAACTGCATAAAACCTACTAAAAAAGAGATTAAAAAGCACATAAAATTACAAAAAAGCTTTCTGAAATAAAAATGTCTTGAGTGTCTTTTGAAAAGATGCTACTGAGGGGCTACTCCTAATCGCATAGGGCCATGAATTCCATAGTTGAGGAGCAGCAGCAGCAAAAGATCGATCTCCTAACGTTGTTAAAGTCTTGATTTCACAGGGTTTAGTAGCAGTCCATCACAATCGGAGAGTAAATTGTATTTACATGCTTCTTTAAGATTAATACGTTCCTGGAGATAAAAAAAGTGCTAAGCCAGTGATAGCCTTTTACGTTAAAAGTAGTATCTTAAGGTCAAATTTGAATTTAACCGGCAACCAGTGCGGATTATACAGCATCGGTCTTACGTGGCAGTATTTAGATTCCTCGAAAATTCTGGAAAATTAACCTAGCGGCAGCATTTTGGCCCCTCTGTAGCTTATTAAGCTGGTAGGCTGGCAGGCCACAATTCAATTCAATTCAATTCAATTTTATTATTCACACTTCATAAAATATTTACATTATATATAGTAAGGTAGGAATACACTAATAAAGGAGAAGAAGAAGAAAAAAAAAGAAAATTAATGGCTTGGGTAGAAGTGTACGGTGGTCAGAGGAGCTTAGCTTTCGAGCTAACCACCGCTATATTATGGTTGGAAATACATAATAAACGTGCGCTTGGTGCCATGGCAACTATGGACGATTATGCCAGCAGTCAGGTTATGTGAGACAGTCAAATTACAATTTTTACCTTTGAGAGTTAACTAGAATTCTCTTATATTCTTTTTTGAACTTATGGTAGCTAAGTGTTTTTATCTTAGTGGGAATCTCTTCCCAAGTTTTGGTTATGGCAAACTTAAATGTGTGTTTGCCGTAATTTGACCTTACACGTGGTACATGAAAGTTAAGATTTGAGGCATATCTGGTATTGTGTGAGTGAATATCAGACACCTTTACGAGGTAGTTTTGAAACACTTCAGGGATATCGGCTTCATTTTGTGAGATTTTGTGAACAAGCAAGGAGATTTTGAGTTTAAAAATGCTATCTATGTTAAGTATATCTAGAAGTTTGAGGTAGGGTGCACTACTTTCTCTATTATGGCTAAAAAATATGCAGCGTATACATTTATTTTGTTTTGTTTGAACTTTAGTTAATCTACTTGGGTATGTGTTTCCCCATCTCATAATTCCATAATGAAGGTAGGGCTAGATAAGTGAGTAATATATTTGTTTGAGGGTGTTTAAAGTTAAGAAATGGCGTAATCTGAAAAGGATTCCCAAGTTTTTAGATATTTTGCTGTTAATGTGCTGAATGTGGGGAGCCCAATTTAGATTTTTGTCAATGTAGATACCTAGGTATTTGATGTAGTTCTTTTCTTCAATATTGCGTAAGTTAAGCTTAAGTTTATTTGCTTCTTGGGGGGGGAGGAGATTGTCATATAGTGGGTTTTCTTAAAGTTTATAGAAAGCAGTAGCTAAGAAGATGGTTGAATTCCTCATTTATAGTTTTTTCAAGGTCCTGTAGAGAATTGGAAGAGTAGAACTAGAAGAGAGTGGTGTCATCAGCAAATGTTCTAATATTTGCCTTTTCTAAACAATTGGGCATGTCATTGATATATATCAAAAAGAGCAGGCTGTTACAATAGTCCACACGACAGTGTTATACCTAAAAGTTTGGCACTATTATAACAGCTAGTTCCTTCTCGTCGACCACAACAGGGCTGAAGACGTGTTTGTTATTTTTAAAGTCGATGATCATCTCCTTGCATTTGTCAGCGTTTAGTTGCATGCATTGCTCACGTGACCATTCCTCGACGGCACTAACTGCGCTTTGAATGTCACCCTGTGCACCTCGCGGGACTAACTCATCAATAGTAGAGAGATTAAGCATCGCGTTTACCGCAAACGGCAAACTTGAGTTTCAAGTTGAGAAATTTTTAAAATGAGCAGATAAAAGCAGCTTAAAACAATTCTTATGGATAAAATTGACCTGAATCTACCGATTTTCGTGTATTTATAATGAACAGAAAACGACTAGTGAAGGGGAAACTTGCTTACGTTTGCCGTTTGTCGTAAACGCGATGCTTAATCTCTCTGGTAAGTATCATCAACGTACAAAATGTGCTTCTATGTGTCCAAACTGAAAACCGCTGAGGAATGACGATGGGCCTAGTTTGGTTCCCTGAGGCACACCAGCGGGCACAGGGCCCCATTCATAAAAACAGTCTCTATAGACAACTTTACGCGTTGTTGTCTATGCGTTAAGAAGTCGGCCACCCAGAGGGTAACAGCGCGAGGAAAAGATAGGCCGAAAACTTTGCGCACACGTAGGGCGTGGTCACTGAGATCGAACGCCTTCCTGCAATCAAACGGGACGACTCTCACAGCAGGCCCAGACCCGTCGGTGGCTTGCAACCAGGTACATGTACCATGTAGGTAAGGGCGTGTGGGGTAGAGGACGCTGTGATGCGACCATACTGATTTGGATCAATCACCTCCAGAGCCGCAGGGCCGAAATGGAGAGCGACGACAAAGTCCTGTGCAAGTTTAGATATTACGAGGTTAGGGAGATCGGACGAAGATATTTAATTTGTTGATGTCGATAACAGGTTTTAGCTTGGGGACAGGCGCCATCTTCCAGGATGATGGCCGTCTCTGCTCCGCGAAACTGCTTTTTTGCACAGCTAACTGGGCAAGCAAGGATGCCTGCGTACGCCTTCACCACACTACCCCATCTAGTCCTGCCGCCTTCATAGGGTTAAGCCTTTTTAAAGAAGATAAAACGGCGGGTTCGGATAGGGTCAGCGGTGACAAATCCTCACTGTGTGACAGGAGGAATTCAAGCCTTTGGAAGGACTCCATAGGTTGTAGGAAACCTGAATTGATTTGGCTGGCAATCTATTGGTCAGACAGAAGAGCGGAACCTCGATCTATAAGTTGGCAAACAAAGGGTCTGAGCCTGGAGCGAGAGCCATGTCAGCGATCCACTTGACCGCACTCCACCACCAGCTAGGCTTGGTTTGCTTCAGGTGGTTTACTTCTGAAGCGTAGTAGTTGCTACGGAGAGCTATCCCTCTGTCAAAAGGAATAGGGCCAAAATGAAAAATCCGGCCGGATTTTTTGTGTTTACTTTGCAAAATACTGCCAGCAAACCCCTATAACGTGTACTAACCAGGCTTTTATACTTTTTACATACTATATCACTACTAAAAGTAAACAGTAGTTTTAGGCGCCGAATTTATTCAGACCATACAATAATAATAATAATAATAACTTTATTTCTATTGGGCATTTCATGTAAACAACATTCTTGAAAAATATTTACAAATTTACAACCATATCCTAATATATTTACAATGGATAAAAAAGGAAAAAATTAAAACTAAAACAACTATTAAACCATATTCATAATGATAAAAAAAGGGAAAAAATTAAAACTAACGCAATATATACAAATTTATAAAAACAATGATCCGTTATCACTGAATTTAGTAAACAAGTACGTCTTAAGTGATCTTTTAAAACTCGAGATGGTGTTGGACTTCCGAATTTCATAGGGTATTAAGTTCCATTCTCTTGGTGCATGAACAGCGAATGCTCTATCTCCGTAGGTCTTGGTATACGATCTAGGTTGCATTAAAAGTTCCTTACTAACAGACCTCAATGATCTAGAATGAGGACGATAATGTAGTTTTTGAGCTAAATAGCTAGGCGATGTCCCATTCAGTGATTTATACACGACGAGCAGAATCTTGAAAATAATACGATATTGAATCGGTAGCCAGTGAAGCACACACAAATAATTATTTAGAGTTTCAAGAAACGGCAATTTGAGAGAAACAATCAACTTGTTAATTGACAAAGCTATTCTAAAGAATTGCAAGAAAAGGCACATTGTGGCGTTGGCTTTGAGTGTTTACCGGATAGTAGATGACATGATACCACATAGCTGGATTGTCAAGTGTTTGGAGATGTTTGAAATAGCTGAGAATGTGAGAAGGCTTTTTTATTAATGGTATGCAGACATGGAAGCAGAGTTATCATCATCAGGCGAGAGGTCATCCTCGGAGACCCAGGGGCAGTCAGTCGGGTCGGGAAAAAAGGCGGGACGAAAGTTTTCAAGTAAGGGCGGAAGAGCCCCTGGGTACCGACTCTTACCGAACTATTTCCAAAAATTCGAGCGGATGCCGGCTCCTGATTGGGCACAAAAAATGC